GGGGAGGGGAGGGGAAGGGAGGGGAAGGGGGAAAGAAGGAAAAAAATATAGAAAAGCATTAAGAACTGTTACAGCAATATAGAATTAAATTCTAAATTAATGTCATACCAGCCAAAATAAATAGAAAAATAAGTTATATATTTGCTATTCTTTCATTTTAAGAAAAAAGGCATTCTAGTGCACTAAACATGATCACTGAATTCCCTTCATTACTATGCTACTATCTCAGTAATCTGAACAGGAGTCCTTCAGACAGCATTTCAGGTACACCATAAATACTTCAGGAGATTATCCACAATGATCACCAACTGCAAATGAAAGCAGAGGACTTAGAGGAGCACAGTGTTTACCTACCAGCCGAATGAGCTGTCTGTCCAGCCACCTGAGCACATCCGGCCCTTCCTCTGTTTCTGCTCTATATATTGCCAGCCGGGCCATAAGAATGGCAGCTGCCTCCTGGTCAAAGGACGCAGCGATGTTCTGGATTTGAGTCTGAGCATCTGCCCAACTAAGGAAATAAGAAAGCACAGAAGTTGCTAATATTCACAGTACTGCAAATGGCTACCACACTGATTTAAATTTAAAATATGCAGAAAACTACTTCAATACTTCAAAATTCCAATACCACCTACACAAATAGGCATGGTTTTAAATCACTAATAACTATTTCATCACAACATCAGCTATTTTTCAGAAAAATACAACTAAAGCCAACACAATTGCTTTAAAGTACTTGCACAGGCACCTCTCCCACCAGATTCCTCAAAGCATCAAGATTTTGACAAGCAAACTAACCTACAGAGTCTGCCCCAAAAATGTATACATCAGGAAAAGAAAAACTTTAGTATTTTAATACTAAGTTTACTGAGACATCATGAGATTAATACAAGTTACCTTTGGCCTCAACAGTCACAAGAGGTGCTCAAAGTGGTGGCCATTAGCTTTCAGACATGTAGTAGCACACCAAACTGCTGGAGTGTGTACACACTTTTTTGTGGACTATGTATATATGTGTGTGCGTGCATGCAGATATACACAAGTCTCTATCAGACTTCAGAATTCAATTGATGGGGCCGGGGAGACGGCTCAGTAGGATAAGCGCTTGACGGGCAAACGCTAGGGTCTGAGTTCAATCCCTGGTTCCGCCAAAAAAAAAAAAAAAAAAAGAATTCAATTGCTTCAGTTTTATAAAAGCAGAACAATGGAAATACAAAAATAAAGGTTTCCACTCTGCCTAAGTTATGCCCATTTATTAAACTAGAAAATTAATAAAACAATTCTTTTCTCATTGGTCTTTAATTCAATTATTAGTGATTAAAAAGCATAATAAAATTACTTCGTATTCTTTATCCTGTTAATATTTACGAAAACCCATCAAAAGTTAAGACTTTATCTGAGGGATTAATTTGATATCATGCATGAAATAGCAGTAATTTATTAAAGTTACATGTTCTATAAAGCCAGTCCAGTCTAACTCTTGCTGAGTAGACCCAACAATAGTTTCTGGTTAGTGAAATTTCAAAAACACAGTTTTGTAATAATTGATGCTAACTGTGAAGCACCTCACTCTTAGCATGCCTGGCAACACTTGTGGACTTCCTGAAAATAAATGCCGAACCTATTTTACACATAGCAGTGATCCTAGGGAAATTTAGGCAGTAGCATCTTAAAATTCTTCTCCCTTCTTCCTCTATCTTTGATTTGATAAATATGTCTAGATGTTTTCCAGATGGTTGACAAGTATAAATTATCTCAGCCCAGTGAAACACGGAGAAGCAGAAAAGACTGGTCTGTTCCATACCATCACATGGCATACCAAGTATGTTCAAGCCTTTTAAATTCATAACCTCCCCTCACAGTATCCAGTCCACAAAGCAGAAACTGGATAAAGACAAATGAACTGAATGAAAATGTCATCATTTGAAAAGTGAGCTACACTATATCAATGAATATACAGAGGTAGTAAATTACATAGTAAAGAAAATGTTTGATTTTCTCATGTGAATGAAGAAAATAACTTTTTCTTTCTTTTCTTTTTTTTCCCCCTTTCTTCTTTTTTTGATGTTAAGACAGGCTCTCACTATGTAATTCAGGCTAGCCTCAGACTGGTGGGGATCATGCTGCCTCAGCCTCTGGAGCACGGGGATTACATGGTTTGCCACCATGTCCAGTGCCCTCACTGTTCTTATCAATGAATATTCTAGCAAGTGAGCTGGATCATTGTTCACTTTCCAGCATAGATATCACCCAAAATAGGAACCGAGTTCCACAGCAAGACTTACAACAGTTGGACATGTAAACTTAATCTTTAACAAACACAACCTACTTCCTAGCAATGGTGGTCACTCGGATACGTCTCTGCCCACTGGAATGCTGGTACTGGGTCACAAATTGGATTGCACCACGTCCTCCTTGAGGAATCGGAGCATTATGCTGTGTAAAAACAAAGGAGTAAAAGCTAAACAAAACTCTTGACTACTGTCAATAATCACAGACTACATAATTTTCTCTTGCGAATAGATTAACTCTATAAAGTCTCCCACCAAAGAAAAGCCCAAAATCAGACAACTTCACTGTTAAATTCTATCAAATACTTAAATAAGTAACATGTCTTCTCAAATTGTTTTTAAAAAAACTGAAGAGGGAATTCTTACAAACTCATTCTATTCGATCAACATTATACCTTGATATGAAACCCAAACAAGGATAAAACAAAAACAGAAAGCTACAAGTCAGTGTGCCTTATGAACAAAAATGTAAAAATCATCCACAAAATACAAGCATACCAAATTCAACAGCATCTTAAAAGATTCTTTCATCATGATCAAATGAGATTCCTCCCAGGAATGCATGGATTGGTTCAACACAAGCAAATGACTAAAAATGACACACCACATCAACAGAACTCAGAACAAAAATCATATGTCAATGGATGCAGAGAAGGCATTTGCTAGAATTCTACAACCCTTTATGATAAAAGGGCTGAACAAATTAGGTACAGAAGAAACCTCCACATAATGAAATCCACACACAACCACATTACACTAAATAGGAAAAGCTTAAAGTTTTCTTGATAAAATCAAGAATAAGGCAGGATACCCACTTTTGCCACTTCTATACAACATATTAGACATCCCAGCCAGAGTACTCAAGCAAGAAAAAGAGAGACATTATTACTGTTTGCAAATGACATGATCTTTCCTCTACATGGAAAACGCTACTCCACAAAAAAACTCTAACAAATGATAAATAAATTCAGTCATTTTGCAGTATATAAAACCAGCATAAAGATCTGGGAATATAGCTTGGTGGGAGATAACTTGCCTCACATATGCAAGGCCCTGTGTTCCATTCCCAGTATCTGAAAAAAAAAAAGTCAAGCTGGGCATGGTGGTGCATGACTATAATCCTAGTCCTTGGAACAATAAGATCAAGGGATGACCATAAATTCAAGGCCAGCCTAAATTACACAGCGTGGCTCTATCTCAAAAAAACAAAACCAAAAAAAAAAAAAAAAAAGATTTTGTTTTATATGAGTATTATCTTTACAACCAAGTATTTGATCTGTATAAAGAGATATTAATATATAATGTAGGCATATATGCATAGGTCCTCTGGATCAGAATTATTGCAGCTATTACTGAGAAAAATGGCTTTTGAGTTTTAAATATGGAAGAATCAAGGGTTAGAAGTGTAGCTCGGTCATGAAATGCTTTGCTAGCATGACTAGATCTCTGGGATTCAATCCCTAGAAGCAACAGAAATCAAGAAGGCAATTCCACTTACAATAGCAATATTTATAATATGCCTGTGAAGAGCCAGCCAAATAGCTCAGTGGATTAAAATGCCTGCTGAGGCAGACACAGCGGCTGGGGTTCAATCCCCGTCATGCCATGCCAGCCCCACCCCTGGGCGCACTGAGACAGCGACTGAAACTGGGGATGGTGGCATGTACCTGTAACCCCAACTCTTGGGAGGCTAAACACAGGTGGATCACTACGAACCCAATCTACATAGTGAGACCCTGTAGACCCTGTACTAAAATACAAAAACAAAATGCCTGCAAGTAAATTTAAAGAGATGAAAGGCCTCTACAATGGAAATTATAAAACACTAATTAAAAAAAACACAAATAAATAAGAACACCTGTGTTCATGGATGAGAACGATCAGTAGTGCTAAAACATTGACACTACCCAAAATGATCCACAGATTCATTGTATTCCCTAGCAAAATATACATTCTTCACAGAACTAGAAAAAAAAATCATCCTAAAATTCACAGGAAATATTTGATTACTTTTATAAGTATTGGTTTACTTTTTAATATTCAAGTAAACAAATTCATACCTGGTTAACAACCTCAAAATATATGGCTAGGGTTGTGGTGGGACTCAGTCCACATATCTTCCACTGACAAGTGCCACCCGTTCCTATCTCCTGTAAAAATAAAATACAGCATGTTTGAAAACCAAAGCACTTAGTTATTAGTATAATACCTATTAAGAAGAAAAACAACTTTCAGTAAGAAAAACATTTTTGAACTTTCAAACTAGTTCAATGAATGTTAAATGCTTAAAATTTATTATCATATGACATAACATGAAATAAAATCATACAATTTTTCGGAGAGTTACATGGAGGGAAAACATTCTCTCAGGCTTTCACAGAGAGCACATTGGCCAAGCAATGGCCATGACTCATCCACATGGCTGACACTGACAAACAATCTGCGGTACAGGATCTCAGGATAAATCCTGAGGGGATTTCACTGACCTTATCAGACCCAAAAGCTACAACTCTTGTTGCACAGGTCCTGCTTTACCTTGGTCTTAACCATCCAGCAGAAAAGTATAAAAACAAAATATAAGAAGTAAAGCCATGCTGTTATGTTGAGCTGTAGGGGACTCAGGTCAACAATTTCTGACATTGTCAGTCAAGCGGAAGACCCAATACTATTATGGGTTACTGGACTCTTTTAGAATATTTTGCTGAGTTTACACATCTATAATATTCAAATAATGGAACTTAACAAAAAAAGGGGATACAGATGAATGTCCATTTTGTATCTGTGTATTCAAAGTGGTTAGGATAGATATATAGTTACATTCTCTTAATGAATAGAGGGATTTGTTCTAATGGTGTTTGTAAATAGGCTATCAGATCCGCATCTTGTACAGCAATTAACCACTAGGAAGAATGTATGCAATGTGTTCATTATTGAAACTGTCCTACCAATTTGATTTGAAACTGCCTCTTTGCTATTTGTTTATCAATAAAATTATGGAGAAAAAAATCATACAATTTTTCATAACAAAATTTTAATACAAATTTTTGTAGATAAATTAAAAAGTGAGTATTGATTCTAGGTCTTCATACTGTATATTTTAGTCTTTAAAGCCTGTGTCACTGCATTCCTAATTAAGTAATTCAAGTAAGGCTCAAAAGAAAAGTTTATGCCTTTTGATGAAGTGTTCACGTTAACATTATTACAGAGCAGGGAGGCATACTGAGGATGGACTCAGGGCCCCGCACATGCCAGGCAAGCACTCTACCACTGCGCTACATTTCCAGCCCTTTTATTTTATTTTTTGAGATAGGGTCTCTAGATTGTCTAGGCTGCCTTCAGATTTGTGATTTCTCCTGCCTCAGGCTCCTAAGTAGCTGGAGTGATAGGCGTGTACCACCACACCAAGCTTCTAACATTACCTTTATATCCAAGTATTTGATCTGTGTAGAGATATTGATTTAATATATAATGTAGGCATATATGAATGGGGCCTCTGGATCAGAATTATTGTAGTTATTACTGAGAAAAATTCAGTATAGATCTTGACCATGCAAACTACTTAAAATCAATATTGCCACTTTGTCATTTTTAGAGCTGATTATGCACCTTGTGCTCTATGTCCCACTGTCCACTCTCCAGTGATATTATTCTGGAATACATTATTCCCCACCACGAAATGGGATAAAAAGAAAGGAATCAAAACTTAAACATAGCTAATTTGGTTAATTCTAGTAGCAAAAATCCATCTGGATTTTTGACTTTCAGAAGTCTCTAAAACTCCAAAACAAAAATGCTTCAAGGCACACTGGGGCAAGGAATAACTTAGGCATAAAAAATAAGACTTGTAACAACAAAGTTAAAGCTAACCCACAAAAAAGAGCCCATATATTACTCTGGAAAGTCTCTGTTGGTGTTGTCCAGAGAATTAACTATGTTTTCTTTCTAAAATAAGAGCAACTTACATTTTCAGACACGCAGGGTCCTTTAGAATTGAGAGACACACAAGGTCCAATAGCTCCAGAAATCTTTATCTCCCTTGAGGTCTGCAAAATAAAAATATAGCATATTTGGTTTCCTCAGAGGCCAGTTCAAATGTTCAACTTTAAGGGTTTAAGGATATAAGATATTCCTCCACATTTAAAACTCAAAAGCCAAACAAAATATAGTAACATGTAGAAGTAATTAGTCTCTATTTCTCATATATATATGAATATATATATATGAATATATATATATATTGGCCTATATTGGTCTTAACCATCCAGCAGAAAAGTATA